GCGCAAACAATTTGGTTCAGTAGGAAATCTTTCCATAAGAGGTAATATTCCCAGTTCGTGCAGTCAGTATTTTCTTTTTCAATTTTACCAAAAAAACCAAAACAGGCTGGATGGTTGCTTAGGAGATCTAATTCAGTCATATTATTGAAATACTTTCGGCACACTGGGCGAATCTAATGCCAGGCCCTTCGACCCTCATCTGCATATTCCCACTTACTACCCACCGCCACCTGTTCGGGTATCAGTCCCCGAACTGTCGTTTATTTCCTTGCGGGTACCATTCACTAGTATGCGACGTCTACCGGCTGTCCGTAAGGCAAGCAAAATGCCCTGCCCATAGGATTTTACTTTCTTGCATCGCAGTGTGATATTGCAAGAAACGTCAAGCCCCCTTCGCTCTATTGCATCGTCTTCCATAGTCAGTGCTCGATCTTCTGTTTTCGTTAGTGACCACGTTTCACATCCGAACAGTGGCACTGAAGAGGTGATTACGATTCTTCCCGTTTTATGCTGTGAATTTGCATCATCACCCAACAACCTTTTGTCTGCAATTTTTGGGTAGAGATCGCATACTTGCTTTCTGACTAAGGTAGACAGAGATAACAACTTCTGTATAAATACTGCCCCTTTGAAATCTGACCACGAGTTAACCAACACTTCGCTCCATCTTCGTTTTCGCTGCGTTAATTTTCCAACTCACTCCTTATTTCAAATGTGAAGTTTTTAGCGCGCTTCTCACTTCTCCGAAGCGCTGTTAGCAGTGAAAACTATGACATTAGTTTAGCGTTAGTGGCTTAACAGCTCGTCAGTGTTGTTCATGCAACCGTCATTGCCTTAAATTTTATATGAAAGGATTTCGGCTTACTAGTCGTTCATTAGAAACAACCTGGCTGTTCTCGATGCTCGATTTTCTCGCCAAAATCACGTGTCTATATTCAAGAAATACGCGTACTAAGCAGATTAATTCATAATAAGTTGACAGAGAGCATCTTCCCAAAATTTCAGCTTCCTAGCTTGCCTGGTTCCCGAGTTAGCGATTTCCTTCCCAAAGATTTCAAGTGCTCGTAGTGGGACTTGGACGGGCGGGGAGATTCGCATCACTTTCCTCGGACTGTGCCTGGCCATGGAATCCACTGACAAAACTTCAGCGTTGAAGCTTGCTTGGTTGCCGAATTGAAATATCCGGACACACAGACACATACACACATATGTACACACAAACTCACACACCATGGATCGTCACAAAATGTGTTTTTGCATGTATGCAAATGCAAACCCAGGCTGGAACGCAACAGACTAAGTTGAAAGTGAGTAACAAATTTCACTCGCTTCCAAACACAACCTCTCTACAGTATACCTTCTTGCTCACTGTGGCAGAAAAAACGCATAAATTATAAATCAGGAGAAAAATTGTTTCAGGTACAGGATATACACGTTCTGATAATGCTCCATGCTCCAGGTTGCAAAACGCATTTCCAGGAGCACCAGCACCAAAGCCGTCACGACGAACAACAGCAGCCACCAGTGCGACACTTCGAAAAGCGGGTAGCATTGGAAATATACGTACTTTGCTCACATCATCAACTTCAGTTGCAAAGGAAGCTTCGAAAAGGTCTGCCAAGTGTCATCACTTCATCTGGAACATTGCTAATTCCGGATCACACTGAGGTGACTCACGGGCTTGGAGATCCGAAATTTCTTAAAGAATGTTTAAAATCACTGAAGTCAACACTATTTCGTAAAAATCAATAAAATGTTGTCAAATCAACCACACAGGATTTCATCTGGAAAAGCCCCTCACGCGTTCTTCAAAGTTGCCAAATTGCTGCTGAACAGAGTCGGATTTATGCGCTTGCTGCCTTAAGGGATTTTTGTTTGTGGATTTGACTGGGTTTGCTTTGCAGGATGCCCGGTGCATGTCCATATCGACAGAACAAGCTCGAGCAGTCGGCACATTTACAGGAGCAATATACGAGGAATCTACAGCAGCAGATTTATCTTCTCGAACTTGAAAACAATTTTTTGTAAGGTCTTCCTCTCTTACCACAGTGAACACCTGAAGCAATTACAACTTGAAAACGATCTCGTTTGCTACTGAGCATAAGTGTGGATGCATCTCATCTCTATATAATAGATAGTGAAGTTTTGAGCAGCGTTTGTTCTGAGCCTATTATAAATAAAAGTGGCAGAGTGCTGCTGGCAATGCACGCAAAATGCATATGTTATGGGCAATATATGCATCCAAATTTTTTGTTTGTAGTCCGAATTTGGTTCAAATTTTTTTGTGAATACAGCTAACTGTACAACTCCACAGCGATTGCATATCCGATCTTGATATTTTTAGTAATAATTTAATCAGCTGCTGTTTCATCGCATTCGTCTGACAGTCTTTTCCCTTCCCATACCACACTGAGTTCCTTTTAGCCGCATAGTTCCACATAAGAGTTCATTTTCATTTTTTCTTATGCACTGTTCACCTTTCCGTTGCTGTTCCATACAATGCCTTAGCGCCAGCTAACCTATGCTGTACTTGTTTGTTATTTGCCATTCTTGCCGTACGGCCATCCCGGTTCTTTTTTCTGGCGTACGTTACTTTTATAATGTCACTTATTCAGACTTTATTTTTTATTTCAGTCCAGACTTTATTTTTTTTCTTTACCTTTACGTATTGTTTTTTAGTTACAACCTTTTCCATAACTAAAATATTTAAATTATGCCAGACCGGAAACTTGCTTTATTAGAGATGTGCTTCGGTTTGCTCATGCTAAACAACTGTCACTCCTTTTCCTCAGTAAGAGTGATATTTCACGTTTCGTTTCTGTACGCAAAAAAAACCCAGGCTGGAACGCACCGGACGGGCCCGTGCGATCATGCGTTTTTGCACAGGA